TGAATTTCATATCCCAGATAGTAATATTTCTCCTACTGGAAGAGATTCGAATTATAATTTGATTTGCCTTCAAGCGTTGACAGTGTCTAGTGCAAGTAAATATATTTAAGTGAAGGAAAAGCTTCTAATGAAATCGTCTGTTTAATATTATTTTCAAGCATACTCTATTACGGTTCAGAATACTGATTCCGAAGACAACTAACATATTTCAAATCGGACCTTACAATATGAAATCAAGATATAAAATGTAGATGGGAATGTGTGTATGTGTGGATGCATGCGTATATATACATGTGTTTTTGTATGTGTGCAGAAAAGAGCGCAGAATGATTGGAATATCAGCTTTAGGCAGGATTCAGTGGATCTGCTAGTCGAGTAGTCTCGACTAGAGTACTCTATCTAACTTGTTTCATTTACTGAGTATGCGAAAAACTACTTTCCTGAACGATCTTCATTCCACATTTCCTGTCGATAGACACTAAATATAACGATCCAATTTAACAGCAACAATCTATGTAGGTAACTTAAAAACTGATGATTATAGTATATTTCATATTTGTGTATATTGAATAGTAACTTTGTTCAAATCTGGCATTGAAATGATTCGACTTATCTTTCTTTTAGAACAAATGCAGTTAAGCTTGTTTCAGCTCTGCTGCACATTCAACTGCTCAACTTTAGCCATCGTTATCATCGTATTTCTCTGTTTGGTCATCATCAGCATCTAGTTATTCTTTATTATGACCATCAGTATCGCTGGTAATCGTGAAGCGAGAGACAGTCGAAAGCATCCACACAGCATTGTTATTATTTTTAAAAGCGATTTTCGCATCCTATACGCAGCTGTGCTCGTTAAAAGCACAAACAAAAAGCCGGCACAGTCGAACGATACCGGGAACGTTCAACTGGATGTGCACATTGGATATTGGATTGGAAGAGCGGTATTCGCAAATGCCCCTATTCCGCTCCTCCCCTATCACCCCCCATCACCCTCCCCCAATTCCTTCTCAATCATCCATTGCCACATGAGCATGGACAACAGTTAGCGCGCTATGTAAGTCATTTATTGAAAATCCACTGTAGTGGGCAAACAGACGAGACAGCCGGGCTGAGCTGCCGAATAGGGTGGACCGAAAATTCGACGGGAATAGCTGGGCAGCGGCTCCCGCCCAAGTATGACAAACAATAGCCAAATGGCGTTTTCCTACAACAACAATTTTTCAATATGCTTCAGCCAAAATGACCAAAAAAGTTGGCGGCCAGCATGATGCGGAAAATGTGCTGCCCCACAGTGGACAGAGGAAGGGGAAGGGAAAAGCGGGCATGACCAGAAGGGCAGAGCTAGTGGGTAAAGAGGAAATCGAAGGTTCGGCCATACGTTGCTCTTGTTATCGTTTCTGTGGCTGTGACAATTGTTATTGTTGCTGTTGTTGCAGTTGTCGCTGCTGTAGTTGTTGCTGTACATCGTTATTGTTTTTATACCCTGAACCCATTTTCAATGGGAAATCAGGGTATTTGTTTTTGTTGAAATGTATGTAACAGGCAGAAGGAGGCGTGTCAGACCCCATAAAGTATATATATTCTTGATCAGGGCGGCGAGCTGAGTTGATTTAGCCCTGTCCGTCTGTTTGTCTGTCCGTCCGTCTGTCCGTATGTTTGAACACGTCGATTTCAGAAGATACAAGAGCTAGAGACCTCAATTTTTTTCCTAAAATGACCGTGTATACAACGCGCGAAAATCAGTTATAAAATTATATCTCCTACAACTTTAAAGCTTAAGTCTCCAAATTTATTTTAATGTAGATTTATATGCACTTTATACAATATCGGGTTTTGTTCAAATTTACCCCCCACCCCTATATCCACCCCCTCCCCCTCACATTTGTAAAAGGCGTATTTCAAATACTATTGTGCTTTGGCAAATAAATGCACATCAATGTTATAATTATAATCTGAAAATTTCATGAAGATCGTATGTCCACAAGAAAAGTTATTAAACAATTAATTTCTCATAGTAAGCGCACACTGCAGCCCATGCGTGTTTAGGCGTGTGTGCGTGTGTGTGTTTGTGTGTGTGTGTGTGTGCGTGTGTCTTGTGTAAGCAGAAAGACGCGAAAAATAATTGAAATAGCTATTGCTCGAAGGGTTCAGGGGATCTCGTAGTCGAGCAGTCTCGACTAGAGCCTTCTTACTTGTTATTATTCCGCATTGTGGATGGGAGGCCAGTGGCAGCGCGCTGCTGGCCAAGGCTAAGAACATTCATAGCTCGATTGTCGCTGCCATTAAGTAAGCATAAATGTTACAACAACAACAACAAATGCGCATATCCTCGATCCTGTTCGGCTCGCTGAATGTTTGCCTGCTGCCTTTGCATTTAACCCAGTCTCTGCCTCAGCCTCGGTCGCCGGGTGTACTCGCTCTTGCCTAGCCCTGTCCGTCAGCCACCAATTCTCGTTTAGCCAGCTTCAACTTCAGCTGCTGCACGAACTTTAAATAAAAATTAGTTGAATATAAATTTGAATTTGTGACATTTGGCCTGTCGATGGTTGCAAGGGCCATTCGTACTCAAAGTGGAAATGAAAATGGGATTGATGTCAATTGTATGCGCGTACAAACATACATACGCGTCTGTGTAAGGTATATAGGTATAACTGCTGTACCGATAACGATATTGTGCCACATATGAATATTCGATTCTCATCTGCAATGAATTACATTCGTTATTCAATTTCTATTTCGGTTCAGATTTTGATTTTGATTCCAATTCGATTCAATTTAATGGGCTCAACGACCACAATCCCATTGGCAGTGCGAAAATATGTTTAATGCATTTCAAATGCAATTCTTTACGTCTTATGTTGTGTGTCTCGCAACGTGAACCCAACTGTGGAAATGCTTACACTGAAAGTAAGAAAATAACAATACGATAACAAATTCTTTCGATATGATGGAACCATATGTCATATGATGGCAGTCCGATGATAAGTAGGTGCTAGCACTTGTTAGGCACAACCTAGTCATGAGGATTCATACAATTATAATATACAATGGAATCCGGTTATAACGACGCTCAAGAGACCGACGATTTTACGTCACCAGTTTGTCTCTCTCTTTTTATACCCTGAACCCATTTTCAATGGGAAATCAGGGTATAATGGTTTTGTTAAAATTATGTAACAGGCAGAAAGAGGCGCCCGTCCGTCTGTCCGTATGTTTGAACGCGCCGATCTCAAAATATATAGGGCTAGAGACCTCAAATTAAAATGTCCGTATATATAGTGTAGTGTACGGGTTTGACTAAGTTGCGACTCTCTCGACGAGAGCGCTGTATGTCGCCTGCGGATGTTATGTACAGGCTTGCTTTATGGCGTGTAGAAGGCTTCGAGGTGCGCACTCTTGCTATGCTCGTATCTAGCTCGCCGGATTGTCGGGGTTCTTCTCCACCTATTCTACACTATTGCACCCTAACACACTTTAGTTATAGTGCGCTTCAGAAACAATATTTCGAGAGTGACTGTATTTGGACCAATGCGCCGACACGCAATATTAATATGGTAAACTTAACCATGACCTTGACTGACAGAGAGACAATAGGTGTTGTTCGTCCCTCGTCTCTACCCTCCCTACCTTGACAATACTATATTTTAGTTGTATCATCCCTAATCAAGTCTATAAGGACTATATTACACCTTACACGATCCTGGCATGGATAGTCGACAGACCAAAAAAACTTATGAATTCATATTCATTTCCATCATTTTAATTCAGTATTAAACAAAAAAAAACTAATCAACCGTCAGAAGACCATGACATGCTAAGAGAGAGGTGTGATGGGGAGATAATAAGGTTTTCTAATCAATACTACTCTATACTTATGTGTTAATACCTTCTCTTACATTCTAATTATGTTCGTTTACAATATTTCTTATTATCTACACATTTAGTTTTAACTCTAGTGTTACATTTTTGTTTTCATTATAATTTTATAATTCTTTCATTATACCCTGAACCCACTGAAAATGGGAAATCAGGGTATAATGGTTTTGTGAAAAAGTATGTAACGGGCAGAAGGAATCATCGCAGACTCCACAAAGTATATATATTCTTGATCAGGGCGACGAGCTAAGTCGATTTGGCCCTGTCCGTCTGTCTGTCCGTCCGTCCGTCCGTACGTACGTATGTATGAACGCGTCGATCTCAGAAGATATAAGAGCTAGAGACTTGAGACTTTCTTTTCCTAGGTCCGTGTATATCACGCACATATCAAGTTTTTCTCTAAATATCGATAACTACTCTCGATATTTTATTATCGATTAAAAACCTTATCGAAAGCTAGTTATTTAATTATATCTCCCACACCTTTAGAGCTAGAGCTTAAATGTAGACTTATATATATTTTATACAATTTTGATTTTTGTTAAAATTTACCCCTCACTCCTATTTCCACCCCCTCACCCTCTCCTTTGTGAAAAGCGTATTTCAAATACTAGAGACTTGTGCTTTGGAATGTACATACATTTGAACATTATAATTATGTTCTGAAAGTTTCATTAAGATTGTACGTCTAGAAATTATATTATTCGACAAATAAATTCTTATAATGCTGCCCACACTGCAGCGCAGTCGCTGCTTATTGCACAGTTAGCAGAGCGCGTTCTAATACGTGCGTGTGTATGTATGTATGCCAGAAAGAAGTGCAAAGTGATTAGAATATCAGATTGGAGGGTTCAAGGTATCTCCTAGTCGAGCACTCTCGACTAGAGTCTTCTTACTTGTTTTGTTTTGTCTTACTTCATTTTTGAATTTTGTATAATTTCTTTCATTCAATTAACATATAAATTCATTATAATTTAAATATTTCCAACTACATTACTGCAAGTATATTATGGTTTATGTTTATGTTTTTTCCATATTTCTTATATACTTTTGTTTAAGTCTATCAGAGTTAGATTTTAGAGAGCTTTATATTTTTCTTGTTTTCTTATCATTCAATTACTTACACAGCGTTTTTATTGTTTTTATATATATATCTGCATACCGTTGTATTCCTGGGCCCAAGATGACGATAGCATGTTGATTTTAGCTGCTGGGGTTAAAACATTATAAATAAAAACATAAAGGCCTCTTGATCTAATTTTTTTTTTTTTTTTTTTTTTTTTTTTTTTTTTGTTTTGTTTTGTTTTATAAAAACCTTTTCAGAGCAGCGCATAGTCTGCTCTGGCTACCTTCGCTGTGTTCCTGCATTAGCGCATCAGCTGACGCAATGCTCTACCTTCCGTCGGGTCCTTACTTAACTTATGTATTTGGACAAGGCCAAGATCTAAATGAGGTTGTCCTACGTCATGGTGTAGGTTGTTTTTAGAGATCCCGATTTCTTTTTTTCTGGTTGTTGTGGGTGGAGTCTCTCTTTTGGCCGTTAATGAAATCTTACGCCGTCGAGAGTTAGCTCCGTGTCTGTGAGGGTATCTTGCCTTCGTGGTAGGTTAATCTGCTGCGCAGTCAGGTCTTTTATTTTATCGCTGCGTGCCATTGACCGCACGAGTCATATAAAAAAAACCAACTACTCTTTCGCAGTCTTTGCTTTGGTGATAGCTCTAGCTATTGAGCTAAATCAAGGTGGTCACCTAAATTAATGAATAATTAGCGAATTACAAACACTAGTATTTTAACGTACCTATTGCCAAATCACTAGACATTTATTTAAATGGTTTGCTGCTCGCACTATCCACGGATATAATCTTTTTGTGTAGTATAATAATTCACCCACGTTTTGCTTTTAATTTAATATATGATCTGAACGTCGCGTCTGCTATCGTCAAAGATCTTTTCAATTATGATCGGCAGCTTAGCTAATCACGAAGATTAAGTGGCGTTAAGCGCAGTCGCGCGATCATCTATTCTTCGTCTGCTTGCGGTACAATCGTACGATCATTAATCTGTGCTTGCGGTACAATCGTACGATCATAAATCTGTGCTTGCGGTGTAATCGTATGATCTGTATGTCTTGCGCTATGCGAATGATAAACAAAGATAGATAACACCAATGACCGTAGGGTGGCTCATGACATACCGAATCATATTTTATTATTTGTTCCCACTATTCTGTGTTTACAGCTATAATTCGAATTGTTATTTATTTTCGGTCACTACAATAGCACGGATATCGAGTTTATCTCTAAAAATCGATAACTTATCCCTTTATTTTGTATCGATTAAAAACCTCGAATATCAACTATAAATTTATATTGAAAAGGGTAAATTTGGGTAAATTTTAACAAAAATCGAAATTCAAAACAAGTAAGAAGACTCCAGTCGAGACTGCTCGACTAGCAGATACCCTGAACCCTCCAAACTGATATTCTAATCATTCTGAACTTCTTTTATGCACACATACATACACATGCACTTATAAGCACGCGCTCTGCTAACTGCGCAGTAAGCAGCGGCTGCGCTTGGGCTGCGCTGCAATGTGGGCAATATTATTACAATTTATTTGTTGAATAATTTTTTTTGTAGATATACAATCTTAATGAAACTTTCAGAGCGTATTCATATGGTTAAAATGTTTTTTACGAATTGGTGACGAAGGGGGTGTGGTATCCAACATCTGTAAATTACAAAATCTTTGTATCCATTAACTTTATATACAACGCAAATTTGAAGTCTCCAGGTCTAAAAGTGTTCAAATTAGGCTGAAAAAGCTATGTCGATTTTTCGATTATTCTCGATAAAAAAGTTATCGGATGAGTTATCGAAAAATATGATAAACTTGTACTGCCTATGGTATACATGAGTATGCATGCCAAATTTCAGCTCCCTAGCTCTTATATCTTCTGAGATACTTTTGCTCATACGGACGGACAGACAGACGGACAGGGCCAAATCGACTCAGCTCGTCGCCCTGATCAAGAATATATATACTTTGTGGGGTCTGCCACGCCTCCTTCTGCCTGTTACATACTTTTAACAAAACCATTATACCCTGATTTCCCATTTTCAATGGGTTCAGGGTATAAAAAAAACAAAACCCACAAAACAAAAAATATATTTGTGATCTGTGGGCCAACGATCATACCACGCTGAATACATCGGTCCTCGTCCGATCACCGAAACGACAAGCAACAAAAACAAACGTCCGAGAGAGTGCAGCGAGGCAACAGAAATAAATACATCGGCCACCAAAAAAGAACTATTTCACAAAGCCAGACAATAAACAAGTAAGAAAGCTCTAGTCGAGACTGCTCGACTACGAGAACCCTTGAAGCAATAGATATTTCAATAATTTTTCGCGTCTTTCAGCTTACACAAGAAACACGCACACACACACACACACGCACGTACGCACACACAGACATACATACACACACACACACACACACACGCATACACACACACACACACACACACACACACACGCATACACACACAAACGCACCCACGCATAAACACGCATGGGCTGCAGTGTGCGCTTACTATGAGAACTTAATTGTTTAATAACTTTTTTTATGGACGTACGATCTTCATGATTATGATTATAACATGAATATGCATGTAATTGCCAAAGCACAAGTCTCTAGTATTTGAAATACGCTTTTTACAAAAGTGATGGTGAGGGGGTGAATTTAGAGGTGAGAGGTAAATTTGAACAAAAACCGAAAATTTGAGACTCTAGCAATAAAGGTGTAGAAGATATAATTTTATAACTGGTTTTCGATAAGGGTTTTTATCGATAAAAAAGATCAGGATGAGTTATCGATTTTTAATGATAAACTTGATATGCGCGCTGTAATTACAGACATTAAAAAAAAAAATTTGAAGTCTCTAGCTCTTATATCTTCTGAAATCGACGCGTTCATACATACGGACAGACGGACAGACAGACGAACAGGGCCAAATCAACTCAGCTCGTCGCCCTGATCAAGAATATATATACTTTGTGGGTTCTGTTCGTCCGTCTGTCCGTATGTATGAACCCGTCGATTTCAGAAGATATAAGAGCTAGAGACTCTTATTTTTTTAAATGTCCGTATTTACAGCGCGGATATCGAGTTTATCATTAAAAATCGATAACTCACACCGATCTTTTTTATCGATAAAAAACCTTATCGAAAACCAGTTATAAAATTATATCTGCTACACCTTTATTGCTAGAGTTTCTACATTTTTAATGAATGCTTGTACGCAATTTATGCAATATCGGTTTTTGTTAATTTATGGACTCCTGAACTATCGACTATCGATAATAAAGTTATATTGGATAATTATCATTATATTGGGCAATTTATATTGGATAAATATCATAATATTGGGCAATTTATATTGGATGAATATCATTATAATGGACATATGCACACTGTTCTGCACGACGCAGATATTTAGATGGGGAAGAGTTAAGACTATCGACAATCTAAGGAGGCTGTAGAGTCCAACCGGTACCCAACCGGTAGAACTGATTTGGCCCAGCTCATATTCGGACTAGAAAGAGTTTAGATCTATTGTTACTAAATTATATAAAATATATTATTTCATTGAACACAAAGTTGATTATATTCACAAGAACCAAACACAGCGTCCCCAATCACTAGTGCTCTAGTGTGGGAGCGCTTAACTTGTAGGTACCCTAAGTTCAAATATTTTAGGATAAATATTATACACTGTAGAAGTCAATGAGTTTCTTATTGCATTTATATATTTAAATACATACTTATATCGAAATTTAAATTTTCAACCGAACTAAATGTGCTTTTTATACCCTGAACCCATTGAAAATGGGAAATCAGGGTATAATGGTTTTGTGAAAAAGTATGTAACGGGCAGAAGGAATCATCGCAGACTCCACAAAGTATATATATTCTTTATCAAGGCGACGAGCAGAGTCGATAAAGCCCTGTCCGTCTGTCCGACCATCCGTATGAGCAAGCCGAAGATATAAGAGCTACAGCTTCAATTTGGCATGCATACTTATGTATACCATAGGCAGAACAAGTTTATCATATTTTTTCGATAACTCATCGGATAGATCGATAAATTTATTTGGTTTCTTCAGCCTAATTTGAACACTCTTGGACCTCGAAACTTCAGATTTACTGAGTGAAGATTTTGTAATTTACAGATTTTGGATACCACGCCCCTTCGCACACAAATACGTAAAAAACGAATTTCAAGTACTAGAGACTTGTACTTTGGAATGTACACACATTTTAATCACGCTCTAAAAGTTTCATTAAGATTGTAAGTCTACAAAAGAAATTATTCAACAATTAAATTCTCATAATATAGCGCACACTGCAGCGCAGTCTAAGCGCAGTCCCTGCTTACTGAGCACTCAGCAGATCGCGTGATCATACGTGTGTGTGGATGCCTGTGTATGCATGTGTGCATAAAATAAGTGCAGAATGAGTAGAATATCAGAATGGAGGGTTCAGGGTATCTCCCAGTCTGAACTGGAGTCTTCTTACTTGTTTATTAGTTTGGTTCTGGAATGTATCTAGTCGAGTACTCTAGTTTTCTTTCTTGTCTATATTTACATATGTCTGTGTATAACTAGTCTCAACTCCTAACTCCCAACTCATCTACTTCTGCATCCAAACCCCACATCTACTTCTGCAACTACATCTATACCTACACAACCCCACGACTACTTTTTCATCTACATCTACATATACCCAAACCCACATCTACTTCTGCATCTACATCTATATCTACCCAATTCTACATCTTTTTCTGCATCTACATCTACCAAACCCTACATCAACTTCTGCATCTACATCCTCATATACTCAACTCTACATCTACTTCTGCATCTACATCTGCTTAGCTCCACATCTACTTCTGCAGCATCCTCTACCCAACCCCACATCTACTTCTGCGCCACATCCACACATACTCAGCTCTAAATCTATTTCTGCAACTACATCTACCCAAACCCACATCTACTTCTGCATCTACATCTAAATCTACCCATCTCTGAATCTTTCTGAATCTACACCTACAAAACCGTACATCTGCATCTACATCTACATCTGCTCAACTCCTCATATACTCTTGCATCTACATCTGCTCAACTCTACATCTACTTCTGCATCTACATCTACCAAACCTTACATCTACTTCTGCATCTACATCCACATATACTTAATTCTTAATTTACTTCAGCAACTACATAAATATCTTCTGCATCTACATCTACATCTACCCAACCCAAAGTCTACTTTTGCAACTACATCTATATCTACCCAACTCTACATCTTTCTCTGCATCTACATCTACCAAACCGTACATCTACTTCTGCATCTACATCCACATATAGTCAACTCCACATCTATATCTATACCTACACAAACCGCACATTTCCTTCTGCATCTACATATACATCTACCAAACCCCACATCTACTTCTTCATCTACATACACATATACTCAGCTCTTAATTTACTTCTGCACCTACATACATCAACATCTATCCAAAACGCACATCTACTTCTGCAACTACATCCACATATACTCAACTCATAATTTACTTCTGCAACTACATCAACATCTATCCAAACCGTACATCTACTTCTGCATCTACATCTCCTTCTGCATCTACATATACATCTACCAAACCGCACACCTACTTCTGCATCTACATCTACCCAACTCCAAATCTACTCTTCCAACTACATCTATATCTACCCAACTCTACATCTTCTTCTGCATCTACATCCATATATACTCAACTCTACATCTACATCTGTGCAACTCTACATCTACTTCTGCATTTTCCTCTACCCAACCCCACATCTACTTCTACAAATGCATCTACATCTACCAGACCTTACATCAACATCTGCATCTACCAAACCTTACATCTACTTCTGCATCTACATCCACATATACTCAACTCTTAATTTACTTCAGCAACTACATCAACATCTATCCAAAACGCACATCTACTTCTGCAACTACATAAACATATACTCAACTCTAAATCTACTTCTGCAACTACATCAACATCTAACCAAAACGCACATCTACTTCTGCAGCTACATCAACATATACTCAACTCTAAATCT